TCAATTTTAAAATCTTTCCTTCATTACCAAGCTCCAAGGCATTCACCTCACTACTACCAGCAGCATGTTTGGGTAAAGGATTCGTACTCACATTAGGTGAATCCTCAAAAGTGATCCATCCAACTTTCATCAGCTGTAACACCCTTTTCTTAAAAGCAACGCATGTCTCAATGCTATGACCTGCATTACCAGCATGGTATTCACAAGTCACTTTAGGATTATATCAGGCAGGGAAAGGTGGTTGCATAGGTGGTACCGGTATAGGAGCTATTTGCCCAATACTTAGTAATTTGGCATATAACTCCTTTAGGGTTATTGGTAAGGGTGGTAACTGTTCTTCTTTATCCAAGTTGTTTCTCCTTTGGTAATTGCTTTGGTTATTTGTTGGGAATTTTGTTCGATTAGGTTGGTTTAGGGTGAAGGGTTTAGCAAAGTTGATATTAGCGACTTGGGAGGTAGGTGTTTGGTAGTTTTGGCAGTTTTTGCCTTTTCCTTTATAGCCACCTTCTAGGCTATGCACCTCAGTTTCTTTTCTTTTTACAATGAAACCCTTCTTCTTTACAGGTTCTGCAATTCTCCCACTTCGGATTCCTTGTTCAATCCTCTCGGTAATCCGCACAGCATCATAGAAATGCTGGGTTGAGCTACCCATAAGGTGCTCTTAGTATGGAGCCCTAAAAGTATTGGCGAATAATGTCACCATTTCCGTTTCTATTAGCGGAGGTTGCACATGGATGGCTTGGTTTTGCCATCTTTGAGCATAAGCCCTTACAGACTCTTGATGTCCTTTCTCCATGGTCATAAGACTGGTCCTATCAGGAGCGATCTCAAGATTGAACTTGTATTGCTTTAAGAAAGCATCCGCCAGGTCCGCCCATTTTTTGATCCTCATGTTGTCAAGCCTCATATACTAGCTGAGGGCAGACCCTGTTAGGCTATCCTGAAAGAAGTAAATCAATATCTTATCATCATGGATAACTTCTGCCATCTTATTGCAGTAAGATCAAAGTGGGTGTTTGGGCATTCCATCCCAGTATACTTAACAAACTCTGGCACTCGGAACTTCTTTGGTATTACAATGTTAGGTACTAAGCATACTTCAGCTGCCCTAATAGGATCAAATAAATCATTTCCTTCAACCGCCCTTAACCTCTCTTCCAAAGCAGTCCACTTATCATCCCTCACATGATCAGAAAGTCTGACATCATGCGGGTCTTCGGTTGTTAAATCCATTGCAATGGGAATTCGAATGGGCTGAGCCGGATTAGGATGCTGCTTGTTTGGAGTGTTTGCCCTATATTCTGAGGTGTAACAAGGATTTGAGCTGCTGGTGGTGCTTCATCGGGTCGGGTAGATGTTCCTTCTCCATCTTTAGCCCTCAATAATTGCTAGAGTAGACCAGTTAGATGTACGACATCATTCCAAACTGCCTCTAGCTCTCCTTGGTATTGAGTTTCAAGGTGTGACCTTTCTTCGTCTTCCATCCTTTTCCTTAGTCTAGTGTTGTGGATTCTAGCAGGGGGACCTATGTTTCACAACCTGCCGTGCATGCATAGATTTATAAGAAAATGCATGATATAATGCATGATCATGATGAGAATGCCTTGCATATCAGATATGGATGTGGTCTTCTTGTGAACGATTATAGGCCACCACCTTGTAAACATAGTTTCCCTTGTCACATTGCTTGTTAGGAGTAATGCCTTTTGAGTTGTTTGTTTCAATAAGCTCGAATTAGAGACAGATTTTGCATAAAAGGTGGGTCAATGCCCTTCTCATTAATGCTTGATAAGTTCATTACATTTTTAGAAATATAAAAAGAAATAGAAAATACATTAATCTATTTCCTCTACCACCTCTCTAGCCAAAGGTAAGAAGGCAAAGCCGTGATTCTCGATTTTCCCCAAAAAGGCATCAGTTTCAGCTAAACTTCGACGATAATGAATGATGTCTCCTCCCACATTTCGAGCATTGATTCTAACAATCCGAGCATGTGCAGCTGCTTCGTCCATTTGCTCATCCATCTTGGTCATCTTTTCTATGAGCAACATATTGGTTTTATTCAATGCAGCATTGTTGGCATCGATTTGATCCTTGTGTTTTTCCATTGTCGCTAGCTTCTCATCCAAATAATTCACCTTTTCGCGTTCCTTATCAAGCTTTATCCTTAGAAGTTTCACCTCATTCCTCTTAGCCGCTAACTCAGCCTCGACACCTTTTTTCTTACTTTCCTCTTTTGCAAACTCAGTCAATTGGCTTTCCAACTCCATATATTTCTTACTTAGTTCCTCATATTTTCCAATTCTATCCATCAGCTCAACTTGAATTTGTGCAAATTTCTCTCGGTAATATTCTGCGCTTCCTTGACAGTCATTGAAGTCAATCTTCAATGCTTCAAGTTCAAAGCAGCTTTGCATCCAATCTAAGCTCAATCCTCTTAGCTCCTTCTCACTTTCTTCCCTAGCCATCTTCTCCTCTCCTAGCTTCGCCTCAAGCTTTGATATTCTCGCATCCCTAGACTGTATTTGCTCATCTAGAAAAGCTCTCCTTTTGTCCCCTTCAAGCATCATTTCATCTAACAGTGTCTTGTCTTTTTTACTCTTGCTTAATTCTATCTGAAGCTTTTCAACTTGTCTTCTCAGCTCTTCTTCACTACTGATCCTTTTCCTTTTATTCGACTCTTCAACAACTTGGGAAGATCTGACTTCCAAGTAAGGCATAACCGAAGTAGCTAGGTGTCTCCATCTTGTGTATTCTTCACTAGCACTTGGATCCCTCAAACCTTTCATCTCAACCAAAACCAGATGCTTCCAATCTTGTTTGATGATCTCCAAAACTTCTTGTGCCATGGGCTCCTTGAACAAACCAAAAAATTGAGCAATTCCCATGGTCCTTGGAACAAACCGTATGCCCCCAAGTTGTCTTATCACAAGGGCAGGAGCATAACTTACATAACCTGTGATCCCTACCAAAGGCACCCAACGTCTTTGCCCACAACTCACTAAGACATCCACTGCAGTGACCCACGGGGCTCTCCACTTGAAATTACTATAAGGTAAATTTTCTAGTTTGCCTACCCAGCCTTGGTTGTCTAAACCTCCCCATTCTTCTTCTTCCACTATCCTTAATGGTCTTTGGTTAAACCACCAGAAATTATTGAAGACAGGCTTTTTGGTCTCAATATGGCTAACCATCCAGATATACAACTACGTACAACACCTCATTGCTACCTTTCCAGCCCTTCTACAATGGTTAAGCATCAAGATGGTTTCAGCTAAAATAGCAGCCACTGGATTGATTTGGGTATTCTCATATTCTACATAAGCAGCTGCGGCATCCAAACTTATTACACCTGTTTGACTTGGGAATAATACCAAGCCAAACATGCCCAAGGCAATCAATCTTTCTTTTTCTAATCCTGACTTCTTTTCCAGTTCAATTTCTAGTATCTTCCATTTCAGACTGGTAGCATTCTTCTCCAAAAACTTTTCTAAGTTGGAGATTCTGAGCAGCCTCGACAATTCGGGGATGATCTTGTCAGATCTCAAAGGAAAGTAAACCCTATGCAGTTGGTTTGGAAACTCAGTCAACATCCCGTATTCCTCCATAGTGGGACATAGGTCTATGCTCCCAAAAGAAAAACAACGGTAATCCGGATCCCAAAAGTGAACTAGGGCTCGTACTGCTGAGTTTAACACTTCTACCTTCGCAATCTCTGCTAAGCGTCCATATTTCCTAAGAAATGCGATCTCATCCACATTCTGGAAGTGAGCTATTAACTTGTTCACCTCATTCACCGTGCAATTCAGATTCTTGATTGGCGATAACTTCTTAGCATCACTCCTAGGACAGTCCCCTTCAGTCAATTGTGACAGTTCAGAATTTTTTCCATATTCAATGAGGGAAAATCTAGCAATGGTGGCCATTTCATTCACAAGTCCTGCGATTCAAAATGCTTTCGGGTTAGACTTGTTCTTTATGCAAAAAGATATTATGGAGCATACATCCTAAGGATAGGTTCTAGGTTTTTTACGTGAGACATTGGGCAGGTTTGCTACTTGGTCTCTAAAGAGGGTCTCTTGCTGTCCTAGTGATCACCCTCGTAAAGGTAATATGGGGACTCAGTAGATAGTGGGATGGCACGTATACCAATCACTACCAATCTAAGCACTCAGCAAAGAGTTGGGGTTTACACAAACTTAAACCTTGACTCAAGTCATAAGGCAAGCTGCTAGTCCCCCACCTAACTTAGTTTAATGTGTGTGCTCTTAAAAAGATAATAATAATAAAAGTGATGCATGATAGGATGCAATAAAATCCATATCCATATCTGATACACCATGCGTGACAGGATGTAAAAATGCATGTTAAAGCTTTAAAATAGAGTAAACCATTCATAGCAAGAAAGGAATAAAAACCAACAACTCATAGCATAAACAAAAAAACTACCAAGCCTAGTCCAAGGGTCCCCAGTGGAGTCGCCATCCTGTCGTACCCTCACGAGAGCTCGACGTCGCGGCGACCCTTCCTGGTAGTAGGGGTTGATGTTGGGGTCTTTGTTTTTGTGAAAAAGGGAGTCGCCACCTAGTATTATGGTCACTAGGAAAACCTAACTGGTCTTTCAGAGATTTTAAGGCAAGGGACTGGTTGCGTAAAAGAAAGGTTTTAGCACCCCTAGTGCGCCCTACCTAAGGTAAGCTGCTTGGTGTTTGGTTTGCCTATAATTGCTATGGTGTTAACATTCTCTAATCCTATCAGTTCC